GGGGGGTAGACAAAACAGCTACACAATTATTTTAAGATATTCGTTACCAAGACATTCATTTGGATGAGCTGATGTATGAACTGTTGTAGCAGTGAATGCAGAATCTGTAAGGGTATTATTAAAAAGTAATGTAGCTCTGATTGCTCCTCCTCACTCACTCAGGTTAAATCACATCAATGTTGTGACAGCCCGAGATGTCCCGGAGGAGATGAAGCCCATAGCCTTAAATGATCTTCCACTGCTGGCTATGGAGTACTGCGCCTGGGGGGACCTGAGGAAGGTGAGGGACTCATGGAAGAGATGCTGCTGCTTTAGAGTGCATATGCAAACACTGGAAAATGCTGTTTAAATGTGAAAGCAACATGTGTCCACATCTCTGTTTTCAGATCGTCCTCATAATGATCTGTCCACACAAACACCTGGACAATAGTAAAACTGAACAGGGGCATAAACATTAGATGTTGTAGCTGGCTTAGTATGAATATATTCTTGGGGTTACATTTATCTTCAACAGTCATTTCCCAGTGCAGATGTGTTGTCACATGTAATTTATTATGGAATGAAATGGTGTGTGATACCAATCATTTCCAAAAATACAATATAATAGATTTTACTTGGAAACTGTAGCAGTGTACCTGTCAAGAAGGTTCTGTCACCTTTCTGTCCTGTGATGTGACTTTACTGTAGGTGTGATAGAATTCCATTTGTCTGGTTACAGGTGCTGAGCAAACCTGAGAACTGCTGTGGTTTAAAAGAGAGCGAAGTGCTTTCATTACTCAATGATGTTGGTATGTCCTGTGTCGTGCCCCCCCCCCCCCCTATTCCCCCTTGTGTATTCTGCTGATTTCTGCTCCAGGATCTGGTATCCAGTATCTCCATGAAAACAAGATCATACACAGAGACCTTAAGCCTGAAAACATAGTGCTGCAAGATATCAGTGGAAAGGTAAACTGCCACATTTTAGTTTTGTGCTTACTCTGTTTGACTTTACATCCCATCTCACATTTGCTTATTTGTCTGCAGCTGGTTCATAAAATCATTGACTTGGGCTATGCTAAAGACCTGGACCAGGGCAGTCTGTGCACCTCCTTTGTTGGCACGCTCCAGTACCTGGTAAGTAAGCACTTTATCCTCAGATGCACTAGCTATGTTTAGCTGCATCTTGTGCCAGTTACGCATTTAAATGTTTCCTACATTCATGAATGCTGAAATGATTTTTTATAACTGAAAAGCATGTATAGAATAAACAGCAAAAGCTATGCTCTAAATTGACAAAATGGAAACGTGTCAGAGAGGCTGATATCAGTCGAATATCATGATTTTTCTCTGCAGGCACCTGAGCTGTTTGAGAATAAACCTTACACTGTTACTGTGGACTACTGGAGCTTTGGAACCATGATATTTGAATGCAGTTGTGGTTTTCGCCCATTCCTGCACAACCTGCAACCTGTGCAGTGGTAAGTTGATCAGAATGAAATGTTTAATTTTCCATCAGACTAGTCTATACTTTTCTGCTTTGTATATAAAATGTTTCAAGTCTTACAGTGGAATTTGTTTAATAGGAAAACCTGCCAATCTTGAGATGCAATGAACAATTATTTTAATTATTTGATTGTCCTTTTGACTTATCTATTAATTGTTTAGTCCACACAAGGTCAAAAAGCTGTGGAGGAATGCCCCTCACAACTTTATAGAGCTGAAGGTGACGTTTTCTGATGTCTTGGTTTGTTTGACCAACAGTCTAAAAACCCAAAATATCCACTTTACATTAACATGAGACCAAAAAAGCAGCAAATTCTTTCATCATTAGAGAGGTTTGCTTATAAAAAAGACTTGAATGATTAATGGATTACCAGAACGGTTGCAGACTCTTTTGTCAGTTGGCTAATGAATTCATGGGCCAGTCATTCCATCTCTAATCCTGCCTCTTTTCATCCTCAGGGCCAGCAAAGTGAGGAATAAAGGCCCAAAGGACATCATGGCTGTAGAAGAACCGAATGGAGAAGTCAGATTCTCCACACACCTCCCCTACCCCAACAACCTCAGCAGGTTAGGACTTAGTTAAAATCACATCAAGGAAATATTTGGTTGCTGTTTTATCCATATTATTACCTCAAACAATATTTTTGATTGGTGGTTTGTTTCCTGTTTTGTGAGGACAAATTATATTGTTGTCCACTGGCCATGTTGCCTTTCTGTTTGCTAGGACACTGTTGGAGCAAATGGAGGCGCTACTTCAGCTGATGTTAAAGTGGGATCCTGTCCAGAGAGGAGGCAAAGTCAATCCCGACACCAAGAAACCCCTGTGCTTTGAAGTGCTGGAGCAGATACTGAGTATGAAGGTGAGTTACTGGCAGAGCTTTCTCTTTATATTTAAGTACAGCACTTAAACCAGGGCTTATGACCCAGCTGTGTCTGGGTCAGCAGTTAGCACTCACGTTTCTGTGGTTGATGGTTACTCTGTCATTACATTTGTCTGTACTTCTGCCAGTATAGTACATGCGTTTCAGTATCAAAACTGTTTTTGTTCTTTGTTTTGACTGAACAGCTTGGGGAAAACCTCAGAAGACCTGAGTGTTGGTTTCTGGTGTTTGTTTTTGGAGGGGAACTGAAAATGTGTTGAACATGGTCAGTGCTGTGTCAACCTGGCTTATACATAGCTATGCAATATTTTGAAAGGGAGAATCATGAGTGCTGGGTGATGTGGCCAAATAGAGTATTATGGTATTTTTTCCACAGTGGTAATTATCAGTAGTTACCTATATGTACTTTTAATACCATCAATGAGGAAGCAAACACATTCAACATGCTTGTTTGGTGACTAACACGGAAGGTATGTATAACTTTAGTTGGTTTACAAGACAAACTGCTTAGTTCAAGGAATATATTCAGTTGAGGACTGGATCTTATTAGAGTTCAGATAAGAGGGAGTAAACCATGAGTATGATAAAATAAAAGATAAATTATGTATTGCTGAATGGTGTGTAACCTGTACTCTCTGATAACTTCTCTTCAGGTTGTTCACATCCTGAACATGACCACAGCTCAGGTCCCCTCTTTCCAGCTGACTCCAGACGAGAGCCTCCACAGTCTGCAGAAGCGCATCGAGGCTGAGACCAAGATAGAAGTGGTGAACCAGGAGCTGCTGCAGGAAACGGGAGTCTCTCTGGACCCCAGGAAGCCTGCAGCACAGTGTGTCCTAGACGGAGTGGTAAGTGGTCATTTACTGTAAATCACTTAATAGTTAAGATCTTTTGTCACTGCACACAGTATCAGCACAACAAAATACAGTTTAGCATTTAACAGATACAAAGAGCAGCAAAAGTGCATAGACAGATATAAAAATAAACTAATGGAAATAATGCTACTGTCATATATGAACAAAAGAATATACACAATGTAAAGCAGCTATGAAATGTCAGGATGTAACTGATGTACAGTATGAGCATAATATCTGGTATGTACTATAGTAGTACAGCTGTTGTATACAGCATCAAGCAGTAAGGTAAAATGTACAGTGTGAAGGCATCAGACCTCGTGTTGTGCAGGCGCTGCCATCTTGGATCACACACATCATTTTTACACACAGGAGAAAATCCTCAGTCAGTTTGTTTCACAGATCCCAATATAAATTGTCTGATAGTGGGGGTGCCAGGAGAGCTGAATGGTTATGGCGACACACCGTGTACATACGTTTGTCTGTCTCTGCCTCTCCACCACAAACTGTCAAAGGCTAAAATACCCCAAAAATAATTTTTAAAATAAACACATTATCTGGTTGTGAAAAACATGCACTTCATTTCAACATACTCTTTTATCCTGCAGCTTCCAGTCATATTTTACTGATGAACAGTTGTATCAAAACCTTCATAGGGAATGTGTGTCCTGGTGGTCAAGAGGTTTAAGGCACAGGCTATATTTTGGCAGTGTCTTTGGCTGGATTCAAGCTCGGGACCCTTGAGACATTTCTGTGGACCCATCATCTCCTGTCAGCACACAAAACTAGAAAAATAAATCAAATGTATTTTATGTGCTTGTTTCCCATTGGAAGCTTTTCAAAGATGGGGAAATAGGTGTACAAAAGACTGTCCGCAGATATAACGGTTCATACTTGTTTTATGTGTGTTGAAGCACTTTGAATGACCCAGTAATGAGCTTCAGGAAAAGTATGTTCACTCAGTATAAGTGGTTATTTTCTTCTCCCACTGTAGAGAGGGTGGGATAGCTACATCGTCTACTTGTTTGACAAGAGCATCACCAGGTACTCTGGCCCCTTCAGCGCTAGACAGCTGCCTGATAAAGTCAACACTATTGGTGAGTTTATCAGAAGGGATTGTTGCTGCTCATGAGACAGTTTTGTGCACATTGATGTAATGGTTCTTGTTTCAATGTTGCAGTGCAAGAGGCCAAGATCCAGTTGCCCCTGGTTATGTTGAAGAAGGTTTGGGGTGAAGCTGTGAGCTACATCTGTGGCCTGAAGGAGGACTACAGCCGACTTTTCCAAGGACAGAGGGCTGCAATGTGAGTTACTGTAGTAGTGTAGTCTGTAATGTGTGATTATTAAGCCACAAATCGTGACATTTATTCAACTGACCAGAGAATCAAAAAACCAGCAGCTTGTGTTTTCCCAAGCACAAATGTATTTGTTTGTGTTGTTTTTTTTTTTTTTATGTTACTGGTGTAAAAAAACATGAAAACATGATTTAGTTGTTAAATTTTAGCCCATTGATTTAAAAATGAGAAGCTGTTAGCTGAATGTTTTGGACACTACTGCATGACTCAGAGTCAGTCACACGCGACAAAATAAATTTTCACATTGACACTTTTTTATTTGTGCTCACACTTATAGGACTCGGCTGTTGTAAAGCTGAACAGTGCTGCAACACCAGCAGGCTGAGATGAACAAAATACAGCAGAGTAAATGAAGTATCACATTTGATCAGCTTTATTTATATGATGTAGTCCATTCAAATGGCCCGATAGCAGTCGTGAGATTGACTCGGGACGTCTCTGTGTTACACCCACCCAATTCATACGTCTTTATTTGTCAATGTAATTGTAGAGGAGAGAGTAGTTGCTGCTGTGGGCCATCCAGACCTGGAGAAAGCGTTCCGTTTCTTTTCCTCCACATTTTGAACAGCCAGAGTGTTTCCTCCTCACACCATGGCCCTTGTTTCTTGCTAACTGCCTCTGCTGGCCCGTGGGAGGGTGTGGCCAGTACTCATGCTTCCCTCCTGATAAACACTGGTGGTTGTGTTCAATAACTTTCCAGTTTTCATTGTCTTACTGATATTACACTGATATATTTGCTCACCTTCCAGGTTGAGCCTCCTGCGCTACAACACAAACCTGACCAGATATAAGAACAACATGTTTGGCTTCTCTCAGCAGCTGAAGGCCAAACTGGACTTCTTCAAGAGCAGCATCCAGTACGACCTGGAAAAGTACAGCGATCAGATGCACTATGGCATATGTGCGTATTTACTGGCAGCTGTTTATTGTGATTGGACAACATTTACATAGGGGGAGTATTTGTGTAAAACTCAGTGCTAATCTGTTGTCTGTTTGTCCAAAGCCTCTGAAAAGATGCTGAAAGCCTGGCAGGAGAATGAAGAAAGAGCTGCTGCTTTTGCACAGGTAATGCAAGTTATTGCAACAAAATCTGCATTAAAACATTTACATGTATGTCACTATAATGTACTGTATATGACTACAAATCCTTGCTTGACTCTCGTGTCCTGCAGGTGGCAGAGGTGAGCCATTTGGATGATGAGATCATGGCTCTGCACTCAGAAATAGTGGAACTTCAGAGGAGCCCGTACGCCCGACGGCAAGGAGACAAGATGGAGCAGCTGTGAGTGTTAATAGGGTCTGATGAGATGCCACACTGGGTTCATACACTACACAAAATAATCTCTATGGCTGTTAACTTGTTTTGTTGTTAAAGATGTGCTGTGCATAAAAATGTGTACAGACACTTTCTGCCAGGCCAGAGTTTAGTTTAACTAAGGTCATTTAGGTTGTCTGTCTGTAGGTTAATGTCCTATGTTATACGATATCCTGACATCATGATAACTGACAAGGCAGGATGAATGTCCAACTGAGTTTAAATATGATGCATCAGACAATAGTCTGCTGTTTAATAGAGCAGAAAATAAACAGCTGTTGTTTGAGTTTGCTGATGTGTTGTTAGGAGCCACTGGCAGGTTTCAGACTTGCAAATATTTAAACATGAAAAAATAATTTTATTGCAGAGAAGAGAAGGCGATTGAGCTCTACAGGCAACTGAAGATGAAATGCAAAAGTAAGAAACATTTTAATTCAGATTTATGGTCATTCCAAAAGTATGGTAAGTTATCACAGTTGTGATTTTCCACAAATGAAAATAAAAATCAAATTAATACATTGGTTAACTGCATTAGTTAATCTGGTGCCTTTTCCTCAGCACCTGAACCAGATGTGAGCAGTGACAGCTCTGAGATGGTGAAGGCCATCATTCAGACTGTCCAGAACCAAGACAAGGTCCTCAAAGATCTGTACACCCACCTCAGGTAAGAGTCACTTACAGTCAACTAAGTCAGCTGACCTCTTACTGCTGAATTGTTATTGTATTTTTACATTAGAACACCACTCATTTGGACCCTCAAAGCTAATACTGTATGTTAACATCTCCCCCAACAGTAAGATCCTGATCAGCAAACAAAAGATCATAGACTTGTTTCCACGTATTGAGAAAACACTGGAGAGCATCAAGGATGCAGACAACACAGTGATGCAGATGCAGATAAAGAGACAGAGAGAGTTTTGGCATTTACTGAAGATCGCCTGTGTAAGTTTTCTCACAGCTTATTATTAGCCAGGCAGTTTTTCCTTGCAATTGCTTCTTCTTTTACTTGGTGTAGAGACTTCATACTTGTACCACAAGTACCAGGTATAGAGTATATGATCCGTTTTATATTTTTAAGCTCCTTTCTCCATAAACATGTATATTAAGGAGGGGCCACTGATTTCCTAGAAATTGCTGTAACTCTGTAGCACTTTCAGCTAACAGAAGTTCACACTGATACCACATAAAATAACATTTGTGGACATAAGGAAATCCAAGTGCCTCTACAGTTAATCAAGGTATGTGTGATATCACTGCCTGCTTTATTTTAATAATCAGAGTAATCTACTGTAATTGAATAAACCTGTGTCCTGTCTTGCAGCTGCAGCAGATTATTTTCTCAATTAGCTGATTAATCTTTTGGTCTAAAAATTGTCAGAAAATAGTTTTCTAAAGTTCAGGGTGATGTCTTCAGAGGTTTTTGTCTGACCGACAGTTCAAACCACAAGATGATTCAGGTTATAATTACAGAAGACAAAGAAACACAGGAAATTCTAACAAATGATTGAGTTATCAAAATAATCACAGATTAATTTTCTGTCAGTCAACTAATTGTTTCAGATTCACACTTTGTTGTAAGTCAGTCCTGTAGCTTAGCATTTAGCTTAGCTCAGCTGTGGCACTTTCTGTTCTGTGTTACCTCCTGAGACCCTCTACAACAACGTAGACAGTGGGAGGAGGTGCTGGCTGCATTCCTTTTGTAGGAGAAAGACAGTATGTGTATTATTGCTGCATGGATCTGTCTGACCTCTCTCTCCCTTTTTCTTTCAGGCTCAAAACTCGTCACGCAGCTCGATAGCAGCCAGTCCTGATTCCTCCAATCTGCTGCAGGTTTCTCAGTGGTCACAGTCAGTACAGCCCATCAGCTCCCCACACCCCCTGACCTCGCTGCCTGGGCCAAATGACAGGTAACTGATTGACTGAGTCCTGCTTATGGGTGGTCTGCAGAGCCTATAGAGGAAATAGTCACCCTGTGAATCTGTGGAAATTGGGTCTTATATTAGTGTAAGTGGAAAATGCAAAGTGATAAAGTCATGGTTCAGTAAAGGCTCATTAAGCAGTAACAGCCTGTAACCCTGGAGTGTCTGTGCATGGGTGTGTATCAGGCAGTTTTGTATATCTGGATATGTTTCCTATCTTTGCAAAACTTGCAGGGAACAAGGTTTTGAAGAATGGCCATGCATAACAGACATCTGACACCATAACTGTATTTAAATGACAGAATATCACAAAAAGCACAATATGTTCCCTTTTAAAAGTGGATCAGGTGACTATGCATGTAAAGCATGCAGTGCTTGCAGTGTTAAACCCATGGAGTACTATTACCCACCTCTGCAGTTTCTCTCAGCTTAAGCAAACATTTTAATATCTTCTAGCGCACTGCTTTGTTTTTATGGCCACAGCTTCACCCCCACTGCTCTCATAGCACCATTTTAGCAGCTGTTTTCAGTGATAGAAGTGCTAAAAACCCACTTGCAATACCTGCTCGGCACCAACCAGCAGAAAGATGTATATGCTGGAGCCTACCTGATGAACATGGCAAAGTATTTAGCGGCTACCTAACCGGATATTTCCCGCAGGAGTTGGAGACCACAAAAGATCACTACAGACACAACTTCAAATCAGTGCTAGTTTGTCTCTGCTAGATGTCTACATAAACAAATGTTTGCTACTGTAGCATGTTCATATTAACTTAAAAAAATGATGATACCATGTGTCAGTGTTGTTTACTGCTTGTTTCCACCACCCCTAAATGGCCAAACAACACCTGGACGATTTAAGTGCGTGTATAAAGTGGCGTCCTGTATTTCTGCAGATTTAGGATCGATTTGTAGAGATCTGTCTTCACTTTGGAGTTTTTCCAGTTATGGTTACTCGAAAAATAAACTCTAAATTACATCTATTCAGTGTTTAATGTTTTTATTTTATGTTCATAAACCATGAAAAAAGATGTATCTTTACATTTAGACATTTTTTATAATCCAGTCGAGATTAACTTGTTTGTTGTTGTCAGCGTATTGTACTGGGAGTAGAAATGGATGATGGTAGACTGTGAGTTATGTGTTCGTGCTGCAGTCGCATGTAAATACTGCCATATGTGGTTTTGGTCTCCCTGTACCTGTGTGCACAGAGAAACGCTAAACATGCCGTACATATGCTTGAGGTCATGTGTGAATCTAACATCCTCTGTATGTGTTTGTTTTCAGTGATGCGGCCCCACGTTTGCTGCAGGAGAACCAGAAGTACCTCAGTCAGCTGACCAGCCTGATGCAGGAGGCTGCTGATGACCAGGCCAAAAGCATAGTGGTGAGTACACTGGTTTTAATGGAAACTTTAGTTGTTAACTGTCAGTGTTGTCAATTTGTAGTTCTAACAAAGGTGAATTACTATTTTTCACCAAGAAAACCAGCGGACAGTAAAGGTTAGCTCAGATCATGTTGTCAGTCTTTTGCAAACTTAGTTATTATTTAAAAACTAATTTTCATTTTAAGAAGCAACTCAATTTCAGCAAGAAAGTGAGCAGTGACGTCAGGGTGTGAGTGAGCTATTATTCAGTTAACATTTCATTTTCTCCAGTGGCAACATGTCAGGTGAAAACGGGTCAAACAGATCCCAGGAAAGGGAACATGTGGAGTAGGCCATCACAGTGAAATAAATACAGAAATATATATATAAAAGTACATGTGGTGTGTATCAGTGTTACTGTGAGATTTGAGGAAGAACCAGTTCATGGTCACTGTAGAGTGATTGCTTTGAAATAACTGAGTGTAAATCTTTCCAAAATTTTTGGAAATTATCAGAGGAGGATTTATCAAAGTGTTACTGAATTATTACTATTATGCAGTTGAGATGAAGCGTTTTCAAGAACAGATTTGAAAGACCGGTACAGTGATGCACCAGCAGGGTGAAAAAAAAAATCAAAACTTAATTTTTTTGCACAAGCAGTTTATTCTGGGGAAGCTGCTGCTTTTCACCCTTTATCAAAATACATTAATTTAAATGTGGTTTTCTCAACACTGTGGTTTTCCTCTTTCAAGGACCAAGACTGGAGCTGGACGAAATATGAAACTTTAACAACAAAATTAAAAAAGCGAAATGCGTAAGTCCCGTTGCGTCTTCCATCCACGGCTGTGCTACAACTAACACTAAGGACTGTAATCTGTTAATGCAGTGGAGTGGGCTCAGACATTGTACACGGACTCGGGATATTCCACTAAAAATGACTCTCCTGGTCTTTTAAATAATAACACGATGGAATTTGCACATGCTCAGTGGTGTCTGTCCACTCCCATCGTGTGACATGGTGGAAAAGCTGATCGGTGAATATTCTTGTTTTTCTATGAAAAAAAACAAATGAAGCTGTCTCTTTACTCCTCTTCTTTTTGCTGCGCAGTATTCATCGTACCCCATAAGAACCGGTGATATTCCTTTCTACTGTTATTGCAGAACTGAGCGAACTGTTGCACCAGATTTGGGGATTTGTGGTGAAGTTATCACATGGGAGAATAGTCGACAGAAACATGGGAACTTGTTCAACCTCATGACATAAAAGGAGAACACAGGAAGTGGTGGGGGAGGGAGGGAGTCAAGAAGGAAATTATTCAAACGGCACTTTGATAGCTCCGTGTGTCCACTTTGTCAAGAGAAGAAATGCTTCCGGCTGCCAGAGCTGTTGCAGAAATCACAGTCATGACAAGAGTAAGCGGTTTTCATCACTCCTCATCAGTTCGATATGCATTCCTATATGCATTCTGGGGTTTAGAGTCTGTCATTGTGTATACATGTGAGATGTGGCTGGCCATTATGTTTATACATTTGTCTTTTAAAAATGGGTTTGTCATCTCTTTCATGTGCACACACTATTTCACTGAATGGTTAATGTTGTGTTCATGTCCTGTAAAGCTGTTGGTCAGTAGTCAAGTTTACATCCATAGTTTTACAGTTTAAATGATTTTCCCACAAATCAGCAGCACAAAATGTAAATTAATGTTTCCATCCATTACTGTTCAGCACATATCAAGAGTTGAGGTGTATTAAAGCAGAGTGGTGCTAATTCTACTGTCCTCAATAGGACCCAAGAGGATGATGCTGTTAAGAGAACTAACAGGAGATTGCTCAGTCAAAAAATGGTTTTGAAAATCTGTAGTTTATTTTCATTTTTTTTAAACAAGATTTTTGACAGTTGACTTTCCAGTGTCACTGTAAAAATCTGGTTACAAAAGTATGTTTTGGGGCTTTAATTAAAACAAACGTGAATGTTTCACTTGAGCCAAAGTTTATGTTCAAAGTAATAAAGGCCAAATTGAATATGTGGTGTTGCATAGTGCATTGTTTTGGAACCTTGTGCAATCACCTCCGCTGGGCTTGTTATGAATTAATATAGTGATTCTTTGTTATCAGTTAATTTAGTTTATGAAATGTCAGAAAACAGTGAAAAATGCTTATAATTTTCCAGAGCCGAAGAGGATGTTTTTAGATTTTTCATTTTCATTTTCCAACAAAAACGATAAATCTCCACTCTATTCATCTTAAAATAATAAAAAAATGGAGAAAAGCAGCACATTCTCACATAGGAGTAACTGGAACCAGAAAATGTTTAGCATTTTCATGAAAAAAAATTGCTGAAATGAATAATCAGTCATATTTGTCCAATAATTTGTTGTCATTCAACTTATTGAGCTGCAGTGATGAGTTGATTAATTGATCTACAGTATTAATGAAAGTTCAGTGGTTCCAGGTTCTGACGTGTGAGAATTTGCTGTTTTTCCCCTCATCTTATATTATACTGAGTATCTTTGAGGTTTAGACATTTGGTTGGACAAAATGAGCCGTTTGAAGACATCTTCTGGGGCTGTAGCAAATTTTAAATAACTTTTTTTTTTGGTCTTTTAAATGTTTTGTAGAGGAAGTGAGAAATCAGTTACAGTAATAACACATGGATCAATAATGACAGTGATTGCTAGTTGCAGCTTTGGACTCATCTATTTACGGTAATTGACTAATCTTTCAGCTTTGGTGGCAACCATGAGACGCTCTACCTTCCATCTCATATGTCATGAAAGTAGCATTTTACACATAGAGCACTGGTTTCCATAAACATGGTAGCACAGCTGACGTCTCCACCTGCTGATCCAGTGAAATGAATCTGAATGACTGGATCTGAGTGCAGAGACGCACACGGGAAACTAGAGTGAATGATTGAATGTAATGCAGCTCCATTGTCACTTGGTTACTATGGGCCAGGGAGAAATGAACTTTCTGAGTTGTATTTATCAAGTGCAATAGAGAAAAAGCCTTTTGGTATTTAAGTAACTTGATTTGCCACTTTCTTTCCAATTTAGTATTTTGTTTCCATCTGATGGTTTCAACTTGTCTCTAAATGTAAACTCTTTTATTAAATATTGTTTTATTATTAAAACTTGTTTGCCTGGTAATAAAATAAAATGACTGGCATGACTACTGCTGCGGGTTCTGCTTTCTGCCTGATATTCAGGTGAGTTTTAGATATGGTCTGAATGCACAGAAGAGATGCTGAACCAAAGATATAGAAGTACAAACATAAGGATTTTTTTGGCATATAGAGAGAACATAAGGCCTGTAGTCAAAGTACTAGAGCCACACATCCGAACCAATTCTCTGTCACAGCTGTTGATTATGTTTCTAAAAATGAGCTGTGTGCAGTGTCAGTTTATGTTTAGGTGGACACCCATTTATGCCAAATGGCACAAGTGATATTACAGGTCTTTAGAACAAGACATTAATATAGCAGCAGACCAAGAAAAATAAGAAAAGTTTTGGGACCTTGTCTCCATGACATGTTTATTTGGATTATAGTTTGGGTGCGTTTTGTTCATTTCAATCTTGTGGTGAACATAGTGCAGAGTTTTTAGCCCTTGCACGTGTCTTCCCTCTCAAACAAGCCAAAATGTTCTGTATTTCTCCTATGAAGTCAAAAACAGTTGTTACAGTGATATTGGGGTCTTCAAATGTTTGGCCCAGGTAGAATCAGGAGCTGCAGAGCAGACGGTGTGAAATAGTCTGATTCAGACCAAAATGCATCTAATATAACGCCCCCTTTCACAGTTTGCAGCATCCTTCCAGAAAAAGAATCAAACATTTTAAAAAGTTGTACCTTTTTTCTAAATTCTATTTTGTGACATTTTGATTTGTATTGGTTAATTAAAAAACAAAATCTCCATAGAACAAAGTTAAAATCAATATTGCACTGACTGAAAGCCTAACATCACTTCCTGTACATTTCATGTTACCGGATGTCCAAAACAATTGAGTTTAATGCAAGTGCTGCGATTCCACACCTATTCTGCTCCAACTTAATCCAGTTTTTTCCACATTGTGACAGTAGAGTTGTATGTAGCACAGTCACAGTTTGTCATGGTACTGTATGTAAAAGGAGAATCTGGAAACAATCAAGATAATTCTAAATGAGTGATTAATAGTTAGTCACCAAGCTGTGTTATATTATCTTGTTCACTTCCCTTCCCTCTCAACACCTGTTTTCTTCTGATTCAGTTGAGGACTTGCTTTCAGCCAGGCTCATTTGTTTAACCACATCTAGCAGGAAGTGAGTTTTCACAGTACAAATATGAGGAGTCATGCCAGAACACTTCTGGCTGCCTTTGGAGTGTTTATCAGCCTTTGGCTCATCTATTGTACACATTCCTTATCTAACACAGCAGCTGTCATCAGTGATATTCTGTTGTTTTATTGCAACATTTAAAAGGATTGTGCGCTCGGTTTGAGGTGAAGTCTCAGCCAGAGACAGTGAAACATGAAATGTGAATCACTAAGAGTTGATAAATGAACCATTTAAAGATCACACAAAGACCTCTGGTTGTACTGTGGTTTGTGTTCTTGGAAAATCTTGTGTTTTTTTTTTTTTGTGGCTGAGTAAACACCCTGATCCCTGTGAAGAGGGATGTCATCATTACGCATCTCCTGCAGATTGTCTTGCTGTAGAACAGGTCACACTCATTGTAAATTGTGGTGTTGTATCAGCTGCTTGCCTTGGAAACCAGAGGAGCTCTGGATGAGAAACCAGTCCCCTGCTCAGGCCTACATTCCTGAAATCTCAACTCCCCTGTCTAGCACTGATTTACGCAGTGCTTCATATCAGTCTTTACCTTTTTATAGTTAGATTTATACATGTGGCTTTAAATATTTGTGGTAGTTGATGGTTTTCTCCCCCCCTTAGTCCTAACAGAGAAAAAACATCTGCTGCAGTTTGCTCTATCCACACCTCTCTCACATTGGATTAGGTGTGTTTTTTCTGTATCTCTCCATAGCCAACTCTGATATTTTATACTCACTTCATACTGTGATTGGCCAGGTCTTCTGGGTGAGGGAGGGACTTTTGTTTCTCTTATTAATTATTTCTCTCTTTTCATGACAACTAAGTGCAGCACTATGAATGCCTTCCAGAGGAGAGTTTGTGAAAGTATGCACCACTGTCTCTATAATGAAACAGTATTGCATCTCCTGTCTGTTATGGTGTGATGGAGGATTTCATTCTGGGGGTTTGCTAGCAGGCGTGAATTTTTGTTCCACTAAATTATTTGAGGGCCCATGCAGTGGATAAGTCACTATACATGGGCACAGCAGTGCTCTGAGCTAAATGCTAACATTGACATGCTGACAATGACACTGCTAACACATTAGCATACTAATATTGGGTCATTGAAACAGCTCAGGTATTTGTCATAAATCAAGGTACAGGACACACTTAAACTTAGGCCTGATGGTGTTAGATGAAAAATCAAGGGATCACCACAGTCTTACAGATGCTAGCTACCATGGCTATACCATACAGTATAGTTCACCAATAGATATAAGGGTAATGCTTTATTTTACAGGCCTGTAAATTCCAGTTTATCTCCACATAATTTCTTAAGATGTTTTCTGTAGGGAACCATGTAATTTGGTTCTAAAATTAGAGTTGGCACACTTTTAGATATTTCAAAATAGTGAGCTAGCACAAACTTGAGGTTTTTATTCAGACAAAAGATGAGCTACACAGGCCAAGTGTGAAATTTGTCTACAATCACCCACACAGTTCAAAATAAATGAAGACTAACATTTCAAATAATAAATGAATTGTAAATATAAACCGGAGTTCAAATTGAGCAGCTTCTTTCATGAAAATTCATCTGGAAGCCAAAAATAAACTCACTGGACTAAAAAAAATCAGTCTCAGCACTTTTGTTTTTCTGTAATTGGACCCAAAGTACATGGTTCTTTACAGGAAGCTTTCACAATATTCCTAGGAAATAGCTGGCCTGTAAAATAAAACATTACTGATACTGTACATGTGCCATTAGTTCATGTCGACCAGCCAGTTCATCACTGTGACTGTTACTGCTGATTCACCTCCTTGTTGTTTCTCACAACAACACTGGCTCTGTGTTAAACTTGAAACAAGAAACTCAGGCTTTTGTGTCCCACTGTTTAAGAAGCGTGAGCAGGAAGCCCAGATGATGGGAGCTCACACTGGGAGTCTGAGCCTGGCTGCAGAGCTCTGACTCATTGCTCATTTCCTTCAGCCTCTCACTAGAGACCAGTAAATATGAGTTAACTGTTGAGTTAGCTGACACAGTTCGCTGGAAAGAACAAAAGAAGGCAAAAGACACCAGATTCCATAGAGAAAAATGTAACTTTTAATTTTGTGAGGAAAACAATCATAAGAATTTCTGTCATGCGTTGCTTCACACTGGTGACTTGTGTAATTGTAATTGTGTGATCATATCATAGTTTTGTAATAAAGTTTACTTGAATTGTTACAACAAAAAGCCTTTCGTAACACACTTCTGCATTCCATCAAACATGACAGTTTAGAAAGTACAGTAGAACTGTAATCATGTCAGCTGATGTTTTGTATTTTAAGACCAATCAGTGAGGCACTCACAGTTTAACACACAGTGTATAAACCCCATGTTTCTCTATATAAATATCAGTGCAGTAACTGCTCCTTGAGGCTCTGTCGTGCACCCTGCCTGGGACCGCAGGCAAACAAAGGAGCATGTAAATGTTTCACGCAAACTACAATAACACACAAAGGTCATCTGAACTGTGCAAAGCCTCCCAAAACTGTATGTACCATTCATCGGTTTTCAAGTACAGTGCAATTATTTACTAAATTAAAGAAGGCACAGACTGGTTCTGGACACAGTTTAGGGATAGTATGAAAATAATTGGGACAGAGTGCAGCTGAGTTGCCAGCTCTATTAAAACTGCTGATGTTACAGACATGTCTGAACTAACAATGATGGTGAGTTGCTTTTCAGAAACTACAGTCCTTATCTAAACATGTGAAGCGAGCCACAGGACTGTTGAGAAAGAGATAGGATTAGTCTAATGTAGTTACAAATGTCAATAGGTGGGTTTTCATCCACCACCGTTTATGCACATCTTTTGCAAAAAAAAAAGTAAAAAAGTATCTTGCAATGGAAACCCTCCCCTGCTCTTCCAAAAATGTATCCTCCCTTCAGCAGAAATTAGAAATACATAACCCTTCTGCTTTTTTGACACCTCCCCCAAGTAATTTTCATACAGTCCCTTTCATAAACATAACAAAAAAATTTTTTTTTATAAAGTACGGTTTTATGTTGGCGTCATTTTGCTGCCAAGTTAACGTTACCCTTGTTACAAAGTTGACAGAAAGAATTGTAACAACAGGTATGTTGCGTCCCCCCCAAAATAACCCTCTTGGCCACAGGAGCTGTTGTCGTCAAAGACATTCTCAGTCAGTAAAGCCTCAGTCACGCACAACTTTTCTAAAGGCTTTGAAGAGGAAACTTTTCCAAAGTTTCCTCTGTGACTCACCCCTCTGATCTCTTTCTACCGTATATGAACAACTACACGCTCATGGCTTCTTCTTTGGTTAAACTTGATACGTTTGATGAGAATTTCATGTGAGTCTGTGGAATTGTGGCTTCACTGGGGGCAGTGGAGGTGCACAGGGCTTGACTCGGGCAGCTGGAGGAGGACTGGGCTTGACTGGAGGTACAGGAGGAGGGTTTGGTTTGGCTGCCTTATTCTGAAATGTTAAAAAGATGAATTTCAGAGAGACTTTTAAATGTCAAGTTGCTACTTATAAAACTGTGGAGGGAGTGTTTTTAATATTTTATTCCTGGAATTGCATTTGGCCCCAAAAATGAATAGTAGTGAAACCCATGACAGAAACTTGGCTGTGACTTTTAGACTTTAATGATCCCCAGAGGGGAAACTGCATGAAGAGGCAGGAAATAGAACTATTTAAAATGAAAAAATGAATGGGCCAAGGTAAGGAAGTGTTTAAGACCTGGGAAAAGGTTTCACCTTGAAGCTGCTGCAATATGAAACAGGTGGGATATGTGATGTCAGTTTTGGTGTTGATGTGGTATAGACACTGAAAATGGCTTAGTCTTTTACACACAACCTCAAAATGAAAGACAAACACTTCAAGACCCAAAGATTTAAAATGTACAGTTAAACCAAAGAAAAGCAAAAAATCGTCACATTTCAGGAGCTGGAACGACTAATGTTTGGGAGTTTGACATTGTAAAATTACTTAAAATTCAAAATGTTTGGTTGAACAATGAAGGAACTATTCTGTAGCGCCACCAACGATTCTCTGTTCATGAACTGTACTTTATGTTGACATGTAGTGAGAGCAGCTGTAGGTGGGACTCACCTGTAATTTATTCAGAGGTGGTAATGGTTTAGATGGCGGTTGAGGTTTTACCTGTAGTGAAGACAGAGATGTCACTGAGATATTTGTGTTTGAGTTTTCACTTTAAACACACTTGTACATGCTCAGGGTTACATTAGAAGAGGTCCACAGTGTGAAAAAATGTGTATTAATCCACTGCTGAACATAGTCCCCAACAAGTGCACTATCTCCTCCTGTTTGAGTGACTTTTGCTAAAAACTGCAGTGTCCCGCTGTTTTGTTACAAAGGAACTATATACTGTATCTGTGATGTGTTTTAAAGGAAATGCTGAGCCGGCTTGAGTCTTAGAGCCACAGGGCAGGGAGGTTATAAAAATACTGAGAAACAGTCTGACTCATTGTGGGTTTGGTCTTTTTGGGAGAATGTCTGAGAAGAGCAACAGCAGCAACTTTGTGCGTTGCGTGTCTAAATAAAGATAATGTTCCTTGTTTATTACTTAATTTGATCTCTGAACTAAAGCAGCCAAGTTAAGTTGCCGACTCTGAGGCTCCGTTTGCATTATGCATTTGATCACAAAGCTTACCTGCTCCGTCTGTGAGGTAGACAACACTGGAGAGAACGTCTTTGGTGGCTGGAAGAGAAAACACACCTTGTAACTTAAAGGGTGTGTGACAAATTTCCATGACTACTTCATTGTGCATCTGTGTACCTGTGGAGCGGGTCTGCTGGGAGTCACAGTAACAGTGAGAGGAGCACAGGCGTGTGTGGCTGTTGATGCCATCAGAGTAGGCTGACCGATCTGAGGTTTTTCATTAATGCCTGGTTCCCGGAACATCGGGTTCAACTTGCCTGGAGCTGAATGCACTTTCCTGTGGACATAAAATTCAGTCAGCTGGGAAATGGAGGCCAAGAAACAGCCTTGGAGCAGAGTCAGATAGGAAACACAATGGACTGAATCCTTGTTGAAACCTTTTGGAGATGTAGTTATCCATGTTGTCCCTCTTACAGCACAACAGGCCAGCAATCACTGCAGCGATCACCAGGATGGTGGCGACAGCTGCAGACACACCAGCTATTACTGCACTCTGACCTGCAGGCACAGACGGAGAGACACTCTGGTGTTACAGTCCTTTTATTTGTACAGTTTAGGTCAGGGGTACTCAAATATAAATTTGAAAGGTCCACTTAACAAATTTCCATTTAGTCCGAGGTCCAGAAAAGTGACGGTCAAATTCCAAATAGAGAACTACAAAAAAAGGCAATCCCAAAACTTTCGAACTATACACAAAAAAAATGACATGGTAGGCCTTTTAGTGTGAAAGGTGACACCTTCTTTGTGCCACCAGTTGTTTGAACTTGGGCATAAAAGGTGTGAGGGCCAGGCGGAGGCACTGATGTAAATGTTCATTGGTGAGGGTGCTGCGGTATGTGTTTTTCACCATGTTCATAGTTGAAAAGGCAGATTCACAGCAGTACATTGAGGGAAACATTGTGAGAATTTGAAGGGCCATCTTCTGCAGGAGAGGAACACCTGTTGCAGTAACCATCTTTGTCCAGAAGGTGACAAGGTCACAGTGAGATTCCTGCAGTGCTAGGTTTTCTTGTAGCTCAATTAGCTCTGTTTGCAGAGAAGCAGCACTGGCCCATTGGAAGACTTTTGTGGCTTCATTTGAGAATTCTGCAACATTTTTGACAACAATGGATTTTCGATGCACAGCAAGACTTGTTTTCCAAGAGGGAAATCTTCAAAGCGAGTTTGGAAATTTTTAATCAGCTTGTCCAGGAATTCAGCATAATTGTGATGGTGATGTTTTCCTGCAGTCTGATCCAAAAGTCTTGGGAAGTGAAGCAGGTCCTGCTGTAAGTCACATTTGAACACCTCCAGCTTCCTCTGGAAAGCACGGACAGCTGACATGAGGTCACACACTGTGCTGTTTTTGCCCTGGAGCTTCATATTAAGGTCATTAAGATGGGAAGTAATGTCATTTAGAGAAGCAACAGTTTCCATTTCCTCATCATTCTTCATGACATCCACAAACAGTTTGGCTTTTGCACTCTTCTGACCCAACAGAAATGTCTCCAGCTCTTTCCGCAGTGCCCAAAAACACTCCAGTACCTTGCCTTTACTAAGCCACCGGACATTGTTGTGAAGGAGCAAATCATCAAATGTTGCATTCACCTCTATTAGAAATGAGCGCAATAAACGATGTTGCAGAGCAAAGGATGCTCTCAGATAGTTGACTAGTTTCATGACTTCTGAGTACCTTTCTCCAAGGCTGGCACACAAAACCATCTGGTGAATTATGCAGTGGTATGCCATGAGGTCAAGGTGGTGAGTTCTCAAGCGTGACACTAATCCCCTCTCTTTCCCAATCATACACGGTGCACCATCAGTAGCAATGGAAACAACATGCTTCAGGTCTATCACTCTGTCTCTAAGCATCTGTCACTGCTTCATAGATGTCATCCATGGAGGTTTGTGAGACCCAAAACATCTTCATGAAATTCTCCCTTTTCTTCATCAAAAAATCTGACAAAGACCATGAGTTGTGCATTGTCTGTGATATCTGTGGATTCATCCACAGCCAATGAAAAGAATTTGGCTTTTTTATAGCAGAGCTAAGTTGTTCAAGCAAATCATCAGCAAGTATTTCAGTTCGTCTTGCAGCAGTGGAATCAGAACAGGGTATTTGGTTTATTTTCTGGATTATTTCATCCTTTTGAGTCCCTTCAAACAGAGCAGTCACCACTTCACTCATACTCTTTGACTACTTCCGTTGCCCGCTCCTGTTGTGTGGCTGATCTAGCTATTACGCTACTTGTAGCTTCATAGGATGATTTCAGCTGGTTTATTTTTATGGTCCTTACCTCTGAGTTCTGAGGGTAATTTTGTTCGAAATGTGCATGCTTGGTTTCATAATGGCCTTACACGTTACCACTTTTGATGATTGCTACTGTCTCGTTGCAGATGAAACACATTGGTTTTCTGCTTCCCACGGGGAGCACGAATGCATATTTTTCTGTCCACTCACTCTTAAATTCGCGGTTTTCAAAATCAGCTTTTCTTTTCTTATCAATGGCCAGCTTTGAGCACGCCATCTTCACTTTCAGTCAGCAAAAAAAAAAGTCACATCGAAATTTGCACTGCTCACGAACGATGAGACTGCCTGTTCACTGGCCTGACCCAGAGCACATGACTGGTACATAAATCTGGCTGCCGTGAGTGAGCGAGCGAGTAGTGGTGAGGGAGGGAAGGAGGGAGGGATGGGGTGAGTAGTGGTAACGTTGCTATAACGATGCTGTTACAGATACTGTGATTGGAAATAGATGAAGCAGCCAAACCGAGTAGAAGCCTCAAAGATATATCGCGCGGAATCACGGTTGCGCACTTCATTGAGAACTCATTTGGATTATGATTAAATTAGCATGTTTGTTTTGGCCTATTGAGAACCCCGGGTTTAGGTCATGCTATAAAGAGTGTGGCTTTTAAAGTTTTGTTTTATGTTTGAAAAAAAGACATATCCACAATGTATGGCAAATTATAAGCAAGAGGGTTTTTTGCTAGTGGCAGGGCTTTAGGGATGGAAATACTGGTCTTTGGTCCAGACTGAAATATCTAAACTACTGGATGGTTTGCCCTGACATTTTGTACAGACATTCACGGTTGCCAGAAGCGTGAATTGTGATCATTTCAGCGATCCTTTAAAGGTACTTTAAGGTCCCTTAAAGGATATTCAAAAGTGTCGTAACCCTGTGTTGACATGTTTCACAATCCTCGCCTGCTTAGTGTTGGTTTCCTCTTCCCCTTTGATTGTGTTTTTAGTCATTTAGTGTGAGAACTGAATAGTTGTACAGTCACTTGACAAAGTCCATTTTCAAATTTTTCAGTGCAGATTACCTTAAAATTTTTGTAATGTAGTAATTAGCTCCTTGTGCTACAACAAGACATTTTGATTAAAGAAATGGAAAGCAACTATATGCTAGTTAAGTTTGTTATATGATTTACAGAACAGTGTCTACAATGAAGACAGTTTTAATGTTTTTAAGGAAGGTAGAGTTGAAGATGCATCAGGAGCAGAGGATTTAGGTCAATGCAGGGAAAAATAGCTGATCAGTCATAATGAATCATTCATGTTTTTTACTGGAAGAGTGATTCACCAGCAGGTGTGACCCGCTGTTGCACCCCTCACTGTGAGCTGACTATAGACCCATATAGGGGTTTGTATTTAACAGCCAAGCCTGCTCAAACTGTTGAATTTGTAAACATCAGCTGTCATGAAATCAAATCCAATTGTTCTGTACCTTGAGGTAAATCTGCATATTGGATGTTGCAGTGAGGTGGAGCCCAGCCAGGATTACAATGACACTCCTCCTTGTGATTACACACCTAAAGAGAAAATGCAGTCAAATCAATTTAGACACGAGTCACTTGGACTTTGGTCCAGAACAAACTGAAAACATCTACAAGTGATTTTTTTTTTTATTCACTCACCCCGTTGTTGTTGCATTTCTTTGCACACTCCTCCTGTTTCCCATAAACAGATGTTTCCACACATCTGTTGTTGAGGCAAACCTGTGCACAAATGTGTGAGTCTGGGCAAAATGTCCACTATTATTTTAAACTAGAATTGCCACTGCAGTTGTATGCCTCTGCCAACCAGTCAAATTCACAGGTATGGAACAGAAGTGAGGTCACTGGCCTCTGACCACCAGAATCTAATTAGTTCATCTTTTTTGAGTCCAAGTGGACAGTTGTACCAAATCAGAAGAAACTCCCTCAAGGCATTGCTGACATATCCTGTTCACACGAGTGGGCTGTACAGACAGATGGACGGACAACCCTAAAACGTAATGCCTCCGGCTGTGGCTATCACCGCCGTGGAGGCATACAAACTGATGTAATGTCTCTTGCTGAGAGTTTTACCTTATCTGGTCCACATTTGGTTCCTTCAGGCACCATGTCGATGTTTCGGCTCTTGTCATCATCCACGGCTAGTTTACATTCTATGCCGACGTTGTAGGCTGCCCTTTTCCCTGTGATGGACTCACCCCCTCCTCCACAAAATATTGATCCACACTTAAGATTCCTACAGAAAGGATCAACACATTCACTAAGAACTTGAGAATCTAGTTACATAAACACCATTTAATAACCAAAATATAATAAATTTCTTTTGCCTTAAACATACATTTCATGATTTTGGCAACCTTCGCTACTTTTCACTTTGAGACCTCTGAATAGAACCACGGAGCCTTCAGCAGAAATTCAGTGAAAATGCTGATGATACATACTGTGTTGTGCAGGGGGTGTAGCCAAATTTGTTCCTTCCACAGTTGGCACCTTCCTCGCCACGGGTGTTCAGGTTGAAACACCTATCGGGCCCAACTTTGGCCCCTGAGAAAACAAAATATTCATAATGAATCTCTTATTAGTATGGAAGCCCAAACAATGCACAAAAAGCAAGGGGAGGCAAAATTATGGACACTAATAACATTTTGACTTTTGTCCATCAAAACTGAGTTATAGAATTAATCATAGTCTCGTAGTTTTGTGGGTTTGAACTATTTTTGTGGCACAGTTTGAAATGATGGATCCACTGCTTGGTGGGGTTTGTTCATTGAAAAATATGAATTACCATTTTTATAATTTAGAACCTAAATAATTAAGCCACTATTTAAGAAATGATCAGCAGATCAATTGATAATTAAGCTGAATTTTAAGGAAAAGTTGTATAAAATAATGAACAAAACTAGACAATATACACTATTTATGGTACTGCCACTCAAATAAGATGATTTTACCTTAAAGCTACCATGAGGGAAATAAAGAGGGAAAACTGGATGTTAAGGTGCTTTTAAAGCACAAAAGAGTACGCACTTTTTTGTAGATGTAGAGATTTGTTTTTTCATGAAATACTCTGTAGTCCATTATATATGCACTAATACATTTGTTTCAGGCAGTCTTTATTAGAAAGAGCCAATTCTGTCAGATGACTGAAATTTAGTGAAACTACTAGACATTCACAGACTAATACCTAAATCTCCACGAGTCTCCATTTGTCAATTCAAAAGAAAAGGGAGAACCTGGTGTAAATAGTGGCCCAGTGTTGACTGTGCTGAGTGTACCTAGTCCAAAGAGCCTCCAGCAGTGGTGCTCATGTGTGGGGCACTGGCCGTTGTAGCAGTAGCCCTGTGCCTTGTTGTAGCAGGGCTTTCCGTTCATCTCAAACTCATCCACAGGACAGTCCTCTGACTTTCCAGTGCAGTACTCAGGCAGGTCACACTCACTGGCTGACTTCCTGCACACACTTCCAGCTGCTTTGACCTGTGGGTCAGGGTACATTTCAGCTGATGTAGTAAGAACAGTTAAGAGTTAACGCAAGTAGATGCTGGCTAAATAGTATTTACAATTAACTTGTGTCTTTATATGCTGACTTGCCTCACCTCCTCTAGCCTTGAAACTGTCATTTGAGGAAGAACTGGGTGAGTTAAAGTACATAAACAGTAGGTCATCACCCTCTATTTCCTGTTACTATTTAGCTGCTGCTGTTGCAGTGTGTTGTTAGCAGAAACTTCCTGTCACTATTTTGATGCCCATGGTTATCAGCCAGATACAGTAACTGTGGGCAGCTGTAGGGTGTGTCTGTAGCCTGCACACTACATCACTGTCAGTGAAGGTCAGCTGGCTTTCCTCACTTAGTCCAGGGTTGTTGTTAGCCATGCTAACAGAACGGCTATATGGATGACAGTGCCAGTCCTGTCAATTGGTTCAACAACTGTTTGATGCGATTGCCAGGAAATCAGGTACAGACACCCCTGGTACACAGAGGATGGATCCTAAATTATTCTAGTGATCCTCTGACATCTCCTCTAGCACCACCAGCAGGTCCAAATTTCAGCTATCCTGTGAAACATCTAACCATATATGGGATGCCTGGGCACAAAATATTGTCCTGACACTCATGGATCCCAGAGGATGACTCCCAGTGACACTGGTGATCCCTTGAGGTTCACATTTGTGGTTTTCAGATGTACTTTCTTGGCAACCATCGGATGGATCGTTATGAAATTTGGTTCAGACATTCATGTTCCCCTCAGGATGAATTTTAATAACTTTGATCATCTGACTTTTCATCTAGCGCCTTCAGGTCAAACTTTTAATGGGTCCAGTACTTTGGATTGGATTATGACCACATACCTGAAAAAATGAGATTCTAATTAGTCGGAGCTGTGCTTTTTTAAAAATGCTAATTAGCATGTTAGTGTCATCATTGCAAGTATCTTAGCACACTGACATTAGGAAATTCACACATCAACTATGTTCTTCATTTTAGCTTGGGTTTGTGGCTGACACAGGAAACCCAGATTAGAAGCTACATTATAGGCTGCTGTATAATGGGAGCTAAAGTACCTGACACTTGTCACAGCATTGTCCATCAGCACACTGGGATCCTTCAGTCAGGCGACAAGTTGAAGCATCACAACAAGGGTTCTTGCATTCCTAGTAAAATAAAACATACATTTTCAGTTGTGTGTCCAGTTACACATGGAATAGCTGCTAAAGTTTATAAACTTCAGTCATAACAGATCAAATTCAAATCTCCTACACAGGCAACATCTCTGCCAAGAATCCCCCACCTTCCGATAAGATGTGAGCACACAGGAAAGGTATCTTAATTTTAACTGTTGTTCACCATTTCTCTTTAACTCTATCTATAGCATCATCACGCACAGGAAACCACAGCAGTCAGAAAAGTGGAAAAGCCTAATGATGTCTTTCTCCACCAACAGATATATTTAAAGTTCCCAAGGTCTAAAAAAAAAAACACTACTCTGCAGTATCCTCTTTACAAGTTTTACCTCAACAGTGCCACAGTCACACTCCTCTCCAGGGTCCAGCAGGGCATTACCACAGTGGGGGCCCACAGTGATGGTCCTAACCGAGCTGGGTCTATGCAAGCAGCTGGGCTGAGCTCGCGCCATGAACTCAGCAAGCTGCTCCACACTGCAGCTGCTGAAAAACTCCGGGAACATTTGACTTCCTGTCCTGAAGAGGAGCACAGCGATTCAGTGATGGAACAGTCAAAGGATATGCTGAATGCCTGTTTATGGTGTGATTTTAATTTAAGGTCAAGCTAAAACAGAAGTATGTGGACACCCAGACATTACACCCATGTGTTTGTTGAATATTTTATTCATCAGCCATGGGCATTAATCTGCTCCTGTAACAGCCTCTTCTGGTTTCAATCTCCCATTAGATTTTGGAACACGGCTGGAGGGATTTGCTCCCATTGACTTACAAGAACGTCAGTGAGGTCCAACTCTGACATTGTGTGATAAGGTCTGGCTCAGAGTTGGTGTTGAGATCAGGTCTCTGTGCAGGCCAGTCAAGTTCTTCCACACCAGACTGAGAAAACCATCCTTTGTATTGTACATAAGATAAATACTTTGTACGTAACAGTAAGGTAGATCATTGGTGTTTTGTAACGCCTTTACCTGAGCTTTTCTGCCATTACACAGACCCCACTGCTGTAAGAAGGACCACACACACAGACTGCAGCATCGTGGGATAAGCCGAAGTTATGTCCCATCTCATGAGCAATGGTGGAGGCGAGGCCTATTGGGTTGTCATGGTGATCCTAGAAGAGAAATGCACAGCTGTTGCTTTAAATTCAATAGAATATATCTTTCAAATATGCATCTTTCATCTCCAGTTGTTACAGAATTAATGTAACTTATAAGTTATCAATCATACCTGATTGACTCCACCCGAGTTTCCAGTACACATGGCAAACTTATTTGCCAGTCCAACTGTATCTTTGTCAAAATCTTTGCCACTGTTGAAGAAAAAAGTCTAACATCAGGTCAAACTGTCAGCATTACTGTGTAACATATGCACACACATCCAGCACTGATCCTCACGTCACAAACTGGGCATTGTCATGCTTCATCCTCTGCAGAAGATCGGTCTGACGCCACAAAAGGAAATTGTCCAGAGTCCTGCTTGAATTAACATCAACATCAATGTAGTCTTTGTATGTCCAAATCTCCAAGCCCACCAGCATGATGCGAATGTTGAGAGGGCGATATAGCTGCAGGCAGAGGAGGAGACGTTCATCATGAGTGAATGTGCTGAGAAGTGTGATGGCACAACGCCAAACAACTTAGAAAACATCAAACGGAAAACACAATTCACCTTGTCAACATGATTTATAACTCCAAGAATACGGGCTCTAGTTTCACTTCCATATTGTTTATACTGGAAGAAGGAAGAGACAAACAGATTAGATGTATTTTGCGGTGGAATAAAAGTAGTAAAAGAATCAAACTGACAGATGTACCTCAGTGTTGTCCACCACAACAAAAAGCTCCACAAACCTCTGTGGGCCTGCAGTGAGTTCCATTTTCTGCAAGGACAGAGACATGATACAACCTTTATACTACACAAAACACAGACATTTAACCAATCACCGACGACTGCTCTGGTGCACGCACCCCTTCTCCCTCGTGTTCTTTGTACTTGATTTTAGTACTACCCCCTGAGGGGTGCTGAAATTTAGCTCCCAGAAAGCACCTCCAAAGCAGGTGCATTGTAGTGGTGAGCGTTACTCAGCTCAACATGTTTCGGCGGATTCCTATAGAGGAAAAACCCTTTATGTGGACAAAAATGTGTGGACTCCCTGTTTGTCATGGTGTAGGCACATATTTACCATATTATAATACAATTAGTGGAAAATCGATGAGAATATCTGCTTTTGGTGAATCCAAAAAATTTAATTTAAATGATGAATGAAGGTTTACTAGAGTGCCCACCACAATCTAAACCATCCAGAGATAATTATCATGGTCTAAATAGTATTAGGACTCTAACTAGTGGTTATTATTTCAGTTTACAATCTTTTTAAAAATACTGAAAAAATACCCAATCAAAATTCCTCACACCCTAAGATTATGTCATCCAGCAGTCCAATTCCAAATACTTACTCACTTAACAGCAATAAAAACAGAGAGAAGCAGCTAATTCTCACATCTGAGAGACTGGAACCAACAGATATTTGGCATTTCTGTATGAAAAATGACTCGTTATCAAAACAGTTGCTGATTAATTTCCTATGAATCAACTAATTAATTAATAGACTAATTGTTCCAGCATTGTCCATCATTTCCTGGCTAAATTAGATAAGAGCATACCCAGGTCACCTACCCATGGACTGGACCCGAAAAGCCCAGCCACCCGAGGACCCTGGTCCTGGTCCTGGTCATACAGTGTGGTGGCATTGGACGTGGAGCCACAGCTGGGGCTGCCACTGGTCCTCAGGTTCTCCTGTCTGTAAAGTGCGTGCTCACCATCCTCAGATTGTCCCAGAGGCTCAATAAGATAAACCTGCTGCTGGGCTCTTACAAAGCCACTACACATATGGAAAATATAAAAACACAGTTATTGTGTAAGTGAAACAGCAAAAAATGACTCGGCATACAAGCAAAAGCAGTGTAATAGATTTACTGGTGTCCTGCACAAATTTCTTGGTTGAAACAATATAAAAATCTTCCTGGACAGGATAAATTTATTTGCAAAGCATCTCCCAAACACAGAGCCATAAAGTGTTTTACATAAGGAAAAGAAATACATTAGAAGGACATTTAAAAACATGTTTAAAAAAGAAATATGGAAATTGCAGTGTAGTACAGAGACTAATCAAAGGCACAGGGGAACAGAGGAGTCTTTCATTTAAAAGTAACTATTGAGTAAAAAAATCAGAAGCTGCATTCACATGTGCAGGCATTACAAATTCATGAAAAACTGACCTCTTACTAAATGTCAAGTAGCAATACATTTCACAAGTATTTCGGTAACTTTCACATGAAATAATAACAGCACCAATGTGATGTACAAATGGGACGCCTGAAGGTGTGAGGAGATCCTGATTCTCTTACCTAATACCTGAACAAATGCCCACACTGACTGAAGACTCCGCCATGCCTTCAATGTGACCATGATAGTAGCAGTGCTCCTGGATGGAAATACATACATGACATTAAGATTAAAACTAAATATACAGATACAAATGTAAACTGTAGCATTTTTGTGTAAACCTTTTGTGTAATCTTCGTAGATACAAACAGAGCAATCCAACTACATGTTTTAAAATGGAGTGCATTTAACAGTTGTTTTCATTACCAAATAATCTCCAGATTATTTTAATTAATTGATGTATTTTTATATATATAAAATGTCAAAAAAAAAACAGAGAAAATACCTACTTTCACTGTCAACTAATCTATTAAAATGTCGTGTTTCTACACCAAAACAAAAAGACAAAAATGAGGTGGGTTTCTCTTTATTCAGATGGACTTTAAAATGCAGTGAAATCTCACCTCAACTGGTGAAGCTGTCACTCGTTTCCCATCTTCTGAATAGTGTGTTTCAGTGTAGCCTCTCCCAATAAGATTTCTTTAAATACAGGTTGAAATTGTTTTATGAGAAAAGTTTCTTTTTTAAATATTACAATACATATTAGTTAACTGGACCTGATTTTCTATTTGAAAAAAATGATTTTATATTTAAAGGTAGATATTCCATATTGTCTGATGAACCTATCGACAGTGGGACAGGATGTGGTGTCTCTCAGCTACACCCCCCACCCCATGACCCTCTGCTGCCTACAGTCCTCCTCTTGCTATTCCAGCTTCTCTACCCTGTGCTGTCAAAGTACGGTCTGTAAATCAGCCCCGCCTGCCGCCTAGCCGAGGTTACAACAGGGGTTTTCTGGCCACCAGTAGTCATGTCAAACAGGACATGGAGGAGCTCTGGGCAGCTAAAAGTCTGAGCCAGCGGCTGCCAGAGTGAAGAGGTGGTGTCTTTTGCATAGAGAGAGTGGGACAAAGAAAGAGCAACAACCAGGGTTAACATGGGTTTGGCTGTTTGACATGAAGAGGGTTAAAAGCAGCCAGAGGACTCAGACTAGATGTGGGGCTTTTCCTTCTGGATGTGTTAGCATCTAAAGCTAACCTGTTTGTTTTGGTAGTATTAGCCACCTGGCATGGTCAGGATTTTACCTTTGTGTTGAATTAGTATGATTTCAATTTGGGAGTAACTGAAGCTTTGTGTCACATCAGCAGTAACCAGAGCATTCTACTGGGTTGACACACTTACTGTTAGTCAGCTAATGCTAGCTTCAGAATGGAGGCTGGATTTTGTACAGTTTGTCCCAAATGGGCATCCGTAATTTACATCATTGCTAGGAAGCAAGACATGATGGGAGGGGCAAAGAGCAGTTAGGAACGGCTTATGGTGGCAGTTTGAGTCTTACTAGACCTCCAAGACTGAAAAGACATTAGTTAGAGGAGCTTTAATGTACAAGGCTTACCTGTTTTTTTCCAGATAAATTGTGTGATTCTCTCCTTCAATGTCCAACTTGTACCGAACTGTATCCGGATAAAGCTGCAGAAAAACCAACTACTGATCATGGCAATAATCTGCAGTAGTGGAAGTACTCGCATCCTTTATTTGAGTAAAAGTAGCAATACCACACTGGCAAAAATGCTCTGTTGCAGGTAAAAGTCCAGCATTTGATTTTAAAGTACAGACATATTACCACTAAAATGTACTTTAATGTTATATGACAGTATATTATTTTACTGACCCTCTTCAGAATAAGCAGTATAGATAGTGGATGGATGGATTATTTTACTGGATTATTATTACTGATGTGTAAGTAACATTTTAATGTTACAGCAGGTCTGGGTGAGACTAATTTTAGCTACTTTATAAACTGTTAGGTTAATCTAACACAGTGGAGGAAAGTAACGAAGTACATTTACTCAAGTACAGTTCTGATGTATTTGAATTTGGTACTACTTTACAGTAATACTCTACTATTACTCAGTGGGAAATACACATGTACTTAAGTACTTAATAGCTGTAGTTTCTTATTACCCAACTGATGAAGACACAAAACATATGATTAGGTTGTGTTGGGATAGGTTGTAATCAGCTTCACTACCTGCGAGAGTAATATCCTGCAGACACAGTAACACATTGATTATTCAAAAATGCTGCATAATGGACACTTTTAACTTATATCCCTGCATTTAAATAAAATTTGTAGTTGAGTGTTTTCACATGTTGCTACTCTTACTTCGGTATAAGATTTGAATATTTCTTCCACTGGATGGTAATATGATTTATATGCAAAAATCATTACATCATTATAGGGTGTCACGGGTGAGGTGTTGTCACCTGGTTTTCCTGCAGACTCCTCTTCTGTCTCTCCTGCACTCTCTGGGGTCTGACCACCTCATATCTGTTTACGTGAGACGACATACCAGAGCTCTGCACAAAACAAACTACATACAACAAACAACACTGGTTTTCACATTCGCACTGTTGTATCACATTTGTCAGTACTTCATAATAATACTTCTTAATTATAAAGTTAATTCATCGGTAAACATGACCAGGACCTGGGTGAGCAGCAAGAATGACTACTTCATTTATGATCCACATATGAATTTTACATAAGATCAGGTCTGGTACAATAGTACTGTGAATTTTCCAGCCATTTTCTGCTGTTACATACTGTATATAGTAAAAACATTTTACCACTATTGTAGTAACTATACACTTAAACTAAGTAATTAATGTTGATTATACTCTTAATACTAAAAGTACTTCTCGTGTAGTTTTACACCAAATATCAAATCAGTTTATATAGCACATAAAAATTGACCAAAATACTTAGCAAATTTCATTAAAAGGAGAAAAATCACAGTACATACACAGATGCAGTATAAGCAACAGTATGAAATAATATATAAGGCAGCATGAAATAGTAAGACACCCACGATAAATAAATACATAATAAATACAAAGTTGACCACAAGGCCAGTGAAAAACTAATTCTTTAATTTTTCATTAAATAAGATAATACTAAAGACTAAAATAATACAAAATAAATAAATACTAAACTAAATAAAAGCTAAAATAATAAAATACTACATTTTAGAGGCAAATGTACTTTTTACCTACAGCACTACATGTATTCAATATCTTTAATTACTTTTCAGAATCAGATGAATAAAACAAAATGCAGTATAATCACAAGATTTTGTTGATCCTGGTGTGAAAATCACAAGCTACCCAGTATTATGTTGAGCAGACCTACTTCATATTGTAAGTATGTAAGGCAGTTAACATTAGCTACAACATTAAAGTGATGAACACAGTAATGCATCAGTAATTATAATATATATAATTATAATGTGATATACAGTACATGTTTTTACAGCTGGTATTTTTAGTGGCCCGTACTTTGATGCTAATACCGTTGTACTTTTACTAACATTTTGAATGCAGGACTGCTACTTGTAACAAACTATTTTTACACTGTGGTACTGCTACTTTTACTTATGTAAACAATCAAAGCACTTCTTCCGCCACTGAAATATAATACTAGACTGTATTTTACAGTGTATGCCGTAATAATATGTGAATCGTATGTTGGTGAATATTTTCCAGAGGTTTTCTGTCAGAACATCCTTCACTTATCTGTTGACTGTGTCTGTTAAAGCATCTTGATGGAAAAACATCTTAATTGTCGCATGTTAAAAATAAAATGGCCAGGTGAACGACCTACCCCATATCAGCCACAGTAAGAACAGGTGAGGCCCCATGACGGTGTGCTCTGCTCGGCCGCCGCCGCCGCTCATATCCCGTTACTCCACCGCGAATCGTCGACGCCAGCTCTTCCGTTGAAACCCCGCCCGCCCTTCGCTGTTATCGCCGCCTCACATATTTACCGGAAAGTAACCGTCAAGAGTACTATGGTTGGGAAAATGCTTAAACTTCCGGTAAGATAAAGTATTTCACAGTCAAATCACAAATCGGATTTAACGGGGCCCCATTTGTGCCTTATGCGCGCCACACTTTAGCCACTGTACCATCCAGGACATTGAGGTAACCGGTGTATTCGATGACGTATGTTTAACATGGGACGTTTTACACGCAGCGTTGTCCCAATTATATGTTTAGAATCCTCAAAGACTCTTCTAACCACCCGAGCGAAAACATGTTCAATCCACACCCAAATTGCAGGCTTTTATTGTGAAGGCGGTCTCGTAAAATTTCCGGTCTGTCTCTGGATGTTTCGCTAATTTGATGTGCCTTTAACTGGGGGTACTCAGTCTTTACAAACACCTCATGGCCACAAGCCAAGGCCAGATCATTAATGAACCCTCAATAGAAAAATGAATATCAGATAGTAAATATACAACATAAATAGAGAAAAGCCAAACAAGCAATACAAATCCCATTGCTGTAAACCACAGCAGTAGGATTTCACAGTAAGAACAAGCTAACAGTCAAAAGGTTTCTGGTTCAGATACAGGAGTCTAATTTAGTAAAGCCTTGTTTTAATGAAATGCAAACATACATTTTGACTGTAAGGTACAATAAGTTACTCATAAGGGGTTTCATGACAACATATTAGATCAGCAACTAATAAACATATTAGTTCCTGATCTTTAAAGTTACATTTGAAGCATTGAAATGACAAAAACATCAAACTGTAACTACATTCATATAGTACATGATATTTAATATACACACACTGAAGTCTGAGCTCTGTGAATCACCAGCTGGTGTGTGGTTGGTAATGATATGGTCAGTTGCTCGAGTACAGGACGTCTTTATGGCCGGGTGGGTCTGGGTCTGTACACACAGAGGCTATGCTGCTGCTTTCTGACTCCGCTCTATGGCCATCCTCTCCAGGCGCTCAGTGTAGAATCCATTGAAATCCAGCCTGTGAAATGATACAAGCCAAGTTAGCAAATTATCATCCATCCATTTTCCTCCGCTTATGCGGAACCGGGTCGAGGGGGCAGCAGTCTAAGCAAAGACGCCCAGACTTCCCTCTCTCCAGACACTTCCTCCAGCTCCTCCGGGGGAATGCCAAGGCATTCCCAGGCCAGCCGAGAGACATAGTCCCTCCAGCGTGTCCTGGGTCTTCCCCAGGGCCTCCTCCGGGTGGGACATGCCCGGAACACCTCCCTAGGAAGGCGTCCAGGAGGCATCTGAAACAGATGCCCGAGCCACCTCAGCTGGCTCCTCTCGATGTGGAGCAGCAGCGGTTCTACTCTGAGCTCCTCCTGGGTGACCGAGCTCCTCACCCTATCTCTAAGGTTGCGCCCGGCCGCCCTGCGGAGAAAGCTCATTTCGGCCGCCTGTATCCGGGATCTTGCCCTTTCGGTCATGACCCAAAGCTCATGACCATAGGTGAGAGTCGGAACGTAGATCAACCAGTAAATCGAGAGCTTCGCCTTACAGCTCAGCTCCTTCTTCACCATGACGGACTGGTACATCGACCGCATTACTGCAGAAGCTGCACCGATCTGCCTGTCAATCTCCCGTTCCATCTTTCCCTCACGCGTGAACAAGAATTATCAGTCTTTTATAAAAAATACCAAGATTATTTCTATCCAAAATGTGTCCATTCATTTTCAATACAACACAACTACTTAGGCCTTTACTGCTCATTTGTGTTCAAGTTTATTAGACTAGCTAATATTGACTTTCTGTCACCTCTGCCTGATGTATTATTGCCTTTAAACTTGCAGTAATTGATGTTTTGGCCACTTGGGGGCAGAACAGGCTGAAACACATCTGACAGAGTATTATCACCATATAATGTTGTTATGGTGAGTATGTGAGCAAACAGATGCCTATTTGCCCATCTGGCAGACAGGAAGCAACATGGGCAGTCATTTGTAGTCATGTTCAATATTTATATAAATCAAAAGTTCCTCCATCACTGTTTTGTGTGCTGCTGTCTGCTGTATGATAACTAGTGTTGGACTGTTCAGGAAAGAAAAGTTTTGATGGGAAGATGTTGATCATTCTGACTTTGATTATGAACATTTTGATTGACTGTACTTAAGCCAACAACAGTCTGTTAAAATATGCCCACAATACTGATACTTAGGACCTGCTCTGTCCGTTCCTAGGTGTGGTAACATAAATTAATGTAAATGTAAAGGTTTAAAAAACATATGGTCCTAGATTTTTACCTGTAGATGATGCTGATCATGCTGTGCTCACAGTCATTGGTGCTGTAGATGCTCAGCTTGTCCAGCAGGTCCAGCAGCAGCATGCTGAAGTTACTGTCAAACTTGCTAATGGTGGCTTCCAAGCCTGCATCTGACTGCAGGGCATCCACATGCTCAGCTAAAAACTGGGGCAATCACAGAACACAAGTGTACTATTTAAGACAAGTTAAACCCAAAAGCTGCAATATCTTTGTGTGCCAGTTTTTAAATAGTTAAAATGTTCTCTGGCTTTGCTGCAGTGTTGATTCACATTTCTGAAACTCAGAGTAGGAATCTGAACTGTTCCTGCATTACACAGTGTATTTGTTCAAATATCACTTTCTTTGACGACGTGGGTGTTTTTGAAATACCTTTGTGGTCAGCCTCATCTTCTCTGCCTCCTCAGCATGTTCGCTCTGAGTGGGAGGCCCATCCATAGTCCCCTGCTCCAGAGACTGACGCTCCAACCTCATGCTCTGTGTGAATCGCTGCAACAGTCAAGAAAAAAATAATTTTAGTATAAGCATTTGGAATCTGCTAGTTTCATTTTAATGGTCCAAAGACAGAAAAAGTCCAGTCAGAAGTCCAGGAACAGACACTCAGCTGGTTTGGTTCTTTTTGGAAAACATTTCCTCTTTATCATCATGTCAACGAACCTGCATGCAGTTTGTGAACATGACGCAGACAGACATGAGCTTGGAGAAGATTCTGAGCAGCTCGGGATTGGTCAGCATGCAGTCCTTCAGACAGTTGTCCAGAAAGCTGGTGTGATGGCAAAGCACGTCGTCAATGTTTGACGCCTGGAGCAGGAGAAGACTGATGGTCAGCAAACAAACACAAGATCGCATTTTCTCCGAAACCTCTTGGACAGCATGGTAACAGTGAGCTTCAGGTTACCAACTCACTGTTTTCAGGTTGTTCTCCATGATGTGCCAGGTCGGCTCCATCACCTCAAACATCATGTAGTACTGGATGTTCTGCACAAAGTTGAGCATGCGCTGTCGGAGGGCAAATGCAGTAGCAAACCTGCAGACAGGCAGTTTGAGCAGAGTTTGTGAGATCATTTCGCTGGTTGAGATGCTTAACTAAATTCTCATTAAATTCAACATCAGCTCACCATTTTGCAGAATGTAAGGAGTACTGTTTGAAATCTTTGTTGCTGACCCATACGTTGCACAGCAGCCTCTCAACATGTTTACAATAAAACATGTGTCGGAACAACATCTGGTACCTCGTCAGTGCTTTCCTGGAGAACGATTACACCTGTTAAAGCTTTTACTAAATGCCTTAGTCTGGTCATATTGTTTATAACCCTTACCCAATAAGAAATATAACCTTTAACCTGCATCAAAGCTGCATATTATTTGTACTTATATTTGTATCCATTGCCAAGATTGAATAATTTTATTGTATGGAAAATGCAGCACACTGAGGCTACAGTTTTCTACTGCATACATATTTAAGAAGCTTTAGAGTGGTGCTTAAAGTAAGCCTTTTATTCCTTTTCAGTTTTATTTTTCTGTGGGTAAATCTGGAGTTATGAGCGGTTCCCGTGTTATCTTTAAAAGAAGAAATGTGTCTACATTTTGTAACATGTGCTGCACTACTGTTAAATCTTCATGATCAGATCTGGCAGTTCTGAACCTGTTGATGATGAGCGAGAGTGGCCATTTGACGATGTAGTCGAAGGAGAAGGCCTCCAGGCCACTGTGGGCCACGTCTGTTGGGTCTGCGTTGATGATGGCCTTTTCTTGTTTGGTCTCGATGGCCAGCACCCGCAGCAGCTGAGTGATGACATCATGAGGCATCAAGTCGATCTGTGGAAAGAGGAGAGGAAGTTCAAAAACTAAACGTGAAACAGCATGACTCATAATTTATTTCATCAGTCTGCAAGTAAAGGAAGATGAAAGCACTTCATAATACTTGACCTTGAGATCATCTTTGAAGGGGTCTGTGTTGGCAGTGCTCATCCTCAGAGCCAGCTCCAGGAGGGCTTCTAGTCTGGGAGGAACAATGTCATCCACCGGCTTCTTCAGCTCTTCCTCCGTCAGGTCCATGAAGTGCACAAAGAAATCGCCTTTGTCCATCAAAAAGTAGTGTTTGATGGATCTATTAAAAATAACACCACCACATATACAATAGACTGTCTATCACAAAGATTGTATAAGAACTTCAGAAGCAACTAGCAGTCTATTTCTGTTATTGTTTTATCTGAATGGGTCTAAAAAATGTATTATTATTATTATTATGTGGGAAAACAACCAGTACAGACATCTTAACCTCAAACAGCATTAACCATTTACCTCAGGCGTGAAACCAGCTCCTTCTCTTCCATGAGAAAGTCCAGCAGCACTTTGCTGGCATAATTGTAGGCTTTCTCTATCTGCTCCACGTAGGCCCTCTCCTTCAGTGTGTACAGGACCTCCTTAGCATCAGGACACGTCACGTCACGGCCACACTCCCGCACGACATTCAGGTATTTTCCTTCACAACAAAAGAAAAGGGAATAAAATCTTCTGTCGAAGAAAGGTTCCTCTAATGTTTTACATTAGTTTTGTGTTTTTACCTGTGCTTAATATTTTGACTGCCATTTTCTGTAGAAAGGAGGGAATCCGATGCTGTACGATGGTGTATCTCTGATCCCAGTACTTGTCGTTGTAGTCCTCCTGAATCTTCTCTTTCTGTAACTCATGTTCCTCAACCATGAACTCACTGTGCAGATCGAAACATGGACAAAATAGACATGATATCAGATGTAAAAGCAAAGCAGAAAAACTGTTATATGTTCGCTAGTGTGCTTTATTATCTGACCATTATTTTGAGTCTATGCTGTGAGAGCAGCTGTACCTGTATGGATCCTTGATGATGCCCCTGTAGACCCATTTCTCCAATATTTCAAAGTAAGGGACACTGGCTGCTTTAGTGAGGTAGAGGCACAGCTCCTGAGCCTGGCTGTCACCAGTGTAGTTGAAAGTTCGGTCGTGGAGAAGGCTCAGTGTTGACCCGCCCATACACTCTCCTTTGTCCACTGAGGAAGCTGCAAAAATAGAGGAAGCAATTATTCCATTTCATTTCAAGCATTGGCTTCTTAAATTGTCAAAAAAGTATGTTTAATGAATTGATACATATCAGGTATTTCTGAAAGAATAGACTGATGAAAAAGGAGACAAGGCGCTATTTCTTTCTCTCCAAATGGAGTTATACACTTCTCTGTTGTCAGCTTAGCAAAAAAGTTAACATTAATACAGAACTCAGCACTGCCACCTTCACACCGAGCATCGCTAGAAATGCAAAAGACACAGACCTTATGTTCAGACTCTTACCGATAGAGGCCAGTATCTCCATGGTCCTCATGGTGGGCTGGATGTAGAACCAGAGCTTCTGCAGGGACAATAGGCCCTGCCGCTGCAGGTGCTCCAGCTGAGTGACCAGGATCAGGTACTCCTTCATCAGGATCCTCATTGCCGCGGTCAGGGCGTGGTTCACCTGGCCGTACTCAAAGGATGACTTCTCCTCAATGAAACTGAAAAAGATGTGAATATTACCATTTAATATTTCCTGTGCAGGAGACAGATGCATTTGTCAGTCATGTCTACACACTCACCGAGTTATAGTAGAATAATATGATGCAACTGGTGTTATTCTGTTGACCAGCTCTTTGATAGACATGTCCAGAGTTGAATCTACAATGAAGGAGCGGTTCTGCCTCCCCAGTACAGGCTGAGCAGTAATGTCTCGCCCATCAACTCCAATCATGACAAACAGCAGGTCCTCAACCAGGGCTTGCTCCTGCATAGCCAGAGGCATCGTACCTGATCACAGATAGCACTGTTATTAACACTGCCAACAATAGCCTATACCTAGTGTCCAGCAGCAGAAATCACTTAATCAGTTAATGGCCTACCAACGGCCACAGCTGGATCCCCTGGCAGGGTGGGGCTAGTAATAAAGTCTCCGAGGAGAGCAGGACGGTCGTACACCCAATTAGGAAACACCGGGTTGAGTTGGGTGGGGTTCTTCTTGTTGTGTTTGTCCCTTAGCATCTTCCGCGTGACTTCGGCAGGCTGCAGGCAAAATCGTAAACATCAGAATTACAAGCAGCATCAGATGCCTGGAACCTGTAAACTGACAGTAACAGATTTTTGGCCCCCTCTCTGAAGCCACAGAAAGTCGGAAACAGTCCCCCCACTAACCTAAGCTTCACATCGACGGGATAGGAGTAAGAAACACTCACCAGGGGAGCTGTGGAGCTGGCTGTTACATTGCCGAGCTTCTTTCGCAGTTCATCCAGTTCCTGCATGGACATCTTGGTGCTGGTTTGAGGCAGAGTGTAGCTGGTGGTTGTGACTGATGTTGTGTTTGCCGAGGACTCTGATCTCTCTTTGGCATTCTGCTGCAGAAACTGGAGTGTCTACAAAAATATTAGAACAAAGATGTGACCTGAGACAATGTGATAAAAAAACATGTTGAATACTGTGATTCAAAAGGCAGTTTAACTTTTTTTTTTAAATCAGGGAGAAATCTATGGGACTTATGTAAACGAACGCATGCATATTCTGTTGTTTGTGTGGCAAACTGGTCATTTAAAATCATATTAAAACAAAAATCATTCTTTACATCAACATTTCAAATCCAGGAAACGGATTACCTTGATTACCTACTATATGTAATTAGTAACTTGTAAACTCTATATTACCTCTTTATCCTCACAGAGTTTGGAGAGCAGGTAGACCAGAGGGTCAAGGTTGCGAGCATTTTTGGACTTGAGCTCCTCATACTTCCTCAAGAAGTCCTCAGGGGTCTTAGAGAACTCAGCTAATTTGACCTGAAAATCCAGAATCAGCAACATTCATTTCCACAAAGAGTGTGACAAATCATTTTTATAGCAACATCCTACTTTCAAAATAGATTTAAACTCCAACTGTTCTGCTTCCTGTTAACTTAGCCTTTTCCTACTTATTGGCTGATTTCTATTTAAACAATGGTACACAAATACGCCACTATGCATGACCTTCCAGCCCTTTTCAATGGATCATTTTCAAGACATTTTGTAATAACCTAAACAATAATGTATTTCTATGAAAAAAATGCTAGAGCTGCTGCCAACTGCAAGAACTTGCGATAAAAAAAAAAGAAAATCTCAAACTCAACCAGAAACAATATAATAATGTTTCATTGACACTAACAAGACAAACATTTTAACGTGTTACATCACAGTGTGTTTCACTCGCAGCACCTTCAGGCTTTGTCATTGCTGAGCATTACATGCTACTCTGTGTCAATAAGACAGCCTTATTTTATGTTTGTGGCTCAAACATACAGGCTTTCAGTCTGAACGGAGCCCTACTTTGTGTGGCAGGCACATCTAGCAAAAATACATTCTGCTGGCCATAGCAGTTTATAATACCTTCCTTCCAGAAGAATTCACCAATCTGATGACATTATGGTAAATTCTGTCATGTTCCAGGATTTTTCCGTACCTGCTATGTTGTATTAAAGTGTGTATTATTTACCTTGGCACTGTGAGCAGAGACTGTAGTGGTGACATAAGGAGTCCTGTGCTTTTGTAGTAAATCTATGTAGCCCTCTGCTCCATCACCTCCTCGCACATGAAGCAGGCTGAGCAACTCGTTGACATCGTGGTGGATCCTGAACTCGCTCATGGCTCAGGCTGCTGAGATGACGACATATTCTGTCAGCAGGCTTTGCCTTCCATTTCATTAGAGCTCATTTTAGTAATTTATAAGGAGATCTGCCAAACATTTGACTGGTTCCAGTTGTCAAATATCTTAAAAATATCTTTGTGTTAGTCACACAAAACAAGACATTTAAGGGCATGATCTTGAAAAATTATAACAGGCATTTTTCAATATCTTCTGACATTTTCTAGAAAACTGAGAAAATAATCTGCACATGAATTGATCATTAAAGTATTTATTAGTTGCAGACCTAATTTAATACCTGTTTACCAGCTTAGTGTGGGTGATATTGCCTAAAACGATTTATGCTGCAGATCTTGGTGGTAGTAGCAAATATTCAAACAAGAACTTTGAAGGTCGAAGTGGAGAAGGGTTCCATGTGAGCCGCATATAATAACACTTTTTTCCTGGGCTCTATAACAGTAACTCCTAATGATATGATCAATTAAATGAACGCCTCTTATGCAAGCAATCCAGACTTAGATAGTCGCAGGCTATTTCAGTTTAAATTTATAACTGCATAACATCAGGCAGCCCAGTCAGACACAAAATCATTTTATAACTCACATTATTGAACACAGCAGGTAATAGAAAAGAAATCAAGACTTTATAATACTCTCTCCCTTTTTAAAAAAACAGAATTTAAAACCTGCAGATATTCAGTGTTAAGAGGGGAAGGGGAGAACAGTTGAACACCCATTACAGATGATATCAGCATCGGTGCTACTGGCTCATACTGACAAGCATCATCCACATCTTGGCTGAGTACAAGAAATAATTGTCTCAATCTGCACTTTTCAAAGCTGCATTCATGTTTTGCCATCTTTTCTCCCCATCATGAAGTGATGCTGAGCTAACAGTTATTTCGTGCTAGCAGGCTAACTAGCAAAACGAACTAGCCTATAGGATGAGGATGCTAACTGGTCGATATCTTAGCCTGAATGACAGATGTAAATAACTATAATAATGTAACTCTGTAATCATAGGCCGTATTACAGGTCAAATGCAACTGTTAGATTAGCAGTATACCTCTCAGTCGTATCCAAAACAACAGTGTACACCAATAACGCGCCCACGTCTGGTCAAATTCTTCTTCACTTACTAAAATCCACGTTGTAATGGCGCATTACCGCCCCCACAGGCTAAATACGACGCTACAACAAAGTGGCAACTACAACTTGAGGCACTACAGTCACAATAATAGATTTTCAACAGTAATATTTTCAACACTATAGGCACAATATAAGCTGTCTGGGAAAATGTTATATATAAAATGTATTTCGTTGTAAATTATAATTTTGCGTAACGTTTTTATTCACAAATGCGCCTTTCGAGACAATTTTCGAGAGATGTTGTTTTTTGTTACTCCTAAATATTGCATTGCATTATACTGAGAGGAGTTTCTATTATTTTATAATTCTATTATTATTTTGTCCATCTCATTTATAGTTTATACTTTATATTTATATATCAGACCAGGCTAAATAAAAGAAATACTTCTCTGGGCGGTCATCAAATGTTTTGTTTTTAAAGTAGTTAACTGGCACTAACATGGCTAACTGGTATGTTTAATGCTCTTTCTTTGTGTTTTTAACGCGCAGTGTAAAGTAGTTTGAATTCCCTTAGTGTAGGCTATGGAATGTGTCTCAACTCGGCATAATGTCCAATATATTATTATTATTATTATTAATTTTAAAGAAAGATTTTCCACTTTTATTTGAGAAGCCAAAATTCCTGAGCAAATTATACTGGATGTGCTATTATTTTGAAAAACGATTATATAGCGGAAGTAAACAGTAATCACGTTACAACCCGGAAGTATTGTCTTTCACAGATTAACGTTTGAATAGACAAGAATGACCGATTTATCTGGTAAATAAACGATGAAAGGCAATACTTCCAACATCGTTCAGCCGTTCATCGTCATATTTGTGTCTTAATCTTCGGCGCTGGAGGCAGAGGCGGTCGAGTGTGAGCAGCAACGCCCTGATGCCAGCCTCCCCGCCGGAGAAAAATAACCTCGCAGTGTTTACAAATCGGCTGAGAGAAATTGTTTCCCCGCAGTGTCGTTAGCTAATCGGGAGGTTGCTTGTTTCCAGACAAAGAAAAACATGGCTGAACTCCATGTTGTGGAATCGAGCGGTACTAGCACCATAGAGCAGTCTGAGCACCGTGATATTCGCGGTACTGTGCGCCTGGCTTCGCCTACTCTCATGCTTCCGCCGCGGAGCAGCCAGCTCAGTCCCGGCGGGGTGTCGAGCGGCAGTGGAGGAGGTGGAGGGCGGTCAGTGTTCGGGTTCCCGGTGAAGAGCAACCTCAGCTTGCCGTCTGAACCGGTGGACAAACCGGGCTCACGCTGGGTCCGGCTCAACGTTGGTGGGACCTACTTCGTCACGACCAAACAGACGCTGTGCAGGGACCCCAAATCTTTCCTGTTCCGACTATGTCAAGAAGACCCTGACCTGGACTCTGACAAAGTGAGTCCACGTGTTTATAAAGAGCTATAATGTTGATTTTGGTTGTCTTCATCATTATATAGACTCACAAAAGCAAACATATCAAATATGTGTTTGTTTCTTAAAGGAGAGTTTAATTGTTTTCTTCAAGATTTATGTGAAAATAAAAGATAGCTGGTGAGTCATCGCTAATGTTTTATTAAACAAACTGGTAAAAGAAAATCCAGGCTCTCATTTGTGTCTCTTTTTGGTCAGTTTGCATCTCTTCGTTGTTTTGCCGTTATGTACGATAGCTCTGTATCGCTTTGTGTTCATGTTGTATCTTTTGACTGAGCTAGACAGTCATTTCAAAGGTCAGGGGCCTTCTCATCACTCTGGCCCCTAAGATAGTACCCTTTAGGCCAGCGGATTGCCTCGGTGATCCATGCATGCCTCTGGCCAAATGCAAGGCTGTCTTACCGACTGAGTGTATATCATTTCTGTTTTATTAATCACAGTTTGTTTCACCATTTTTGCACACCTGAAGTATCATGTCAACGACAACTGGTCCTCTATCATGCATCCTGTCTCCTTGGTCTTGTAGAGGGACTGTGTGTCCAAACCTGGCTTCAAGTTCTTCATTTAGTTAGTTGTAGTTTATACTGAGGTAATGTCTCATGTGTTTTTTTTTTTGTTTTTTTTTTATCTGTTCCAGTGGTAACATATTTTCCAAGCATTGCCTCCACTTAGAGCCAGATGATGCGGTTACAATCTGTATCATGGTGTATTCATAATGATATTTTCCAGTATATCATGACCAGGCAAATGTATGCAAAGTCATTATCAGTCTGCAACCTTCTGCAAGTGTCCATAGTTCAGCGATGATGACAAACCAACCCTCACTAGATCCAGGCTTTATTTGAATTTTTGATCTGATGGCAACATATTGTATCAGCTGATATCCCTTAAATTTAGTTATTAAAGAATTACAGCCTATACTGAGTGGGACATTTTACAGTTGTGTTTGCCTTCCAAATTAACTGAAACATATCCTTAGCATTTCCTTTCTGATGTCACTTGTTACTTCGATGGATTGGCACAACATCAGCGTTGGTATGTGAATGAGTTGATGTGTCTGTCAAGCTGAAGTTTCTGGATTGTGGTATTGATGAATGCGGCTTCTTCATTCCAGAAGTCTCTTCTTTATTATTCCACTGCACAGTTTTCCAGTTTATACAAAGTGGTGTAACAGTGATGACAAACCAAGTCTTGTGATGTTCCTACAGGATGACACAGGAGCCTACCTGATTGACAGGGACCCTACATATTTTGGCCCCATCCTTAATTACCTACGGCATGGAAAACTGATTATGGATAAGAATCTAGCAGAGGAAGGTAAAATGTCTTGGTCCCTCCAGCTGCAAATCAGGCAGAGTGAGAACTCTTTACAGTGTATAGAGACCAAACAGTCTGATGATCCATTCATGTTGTGTTTCAGGTGTTCTTGAGGAAGCTGAGTTCTACAACATCGCTTCACTGGTGCGGCTGGTGAAAGAGAGGATACGGGACAATGAGAACCGGACATCTCAGGTATAGGAAACAGAGACTGAAACAAAAACAAGGTCAGGTGACTGAGAACAAAGTTGGCAGATAAATCTGTTCCACTATTTCTTCTACGACAAATATACCCAAAATATTTGTTTTTATTTGTTTAAGCAAAAAAATGTGTTTGTGTGCAGATATTTGATTTTGTTTTAGTAACACTGTGTGTGTGTTTGCTTCTGTCTTGTCCCCCAGGGCCCTGTGAAGCATGTGTATCGAGTACTACAGTGCCAAGAGGAGGAACTCACTCAGATGGTCTCAACCATGTCAGATGGTTGGAAGTTTGAGCAGGTGCAGAAAATACAGCTTGTTCCTCTTGTCATGTTTTAGCTGATGCTTGAGTTGTTTCAAAACTGCTGTTTATAGCTTAAGTGTGGAGATAGGCCTAAAGCATTCGGCATGAATCTAATATCATGAGATATCAGCAAAATGAGAATGGTTTGGAGTGTAATAAATTGTCTTATCAGCTGAAATGTGTCTATAACACTGAATATCAAAATCTGTCAGGTACTCATAATTAGCATTGACTGTCTTTCAGATTTAAGGCTGGTGATTATTTTCATTATTGACTGATCTGCCCATTTACTTTCCTTATTAATCACTTGTCTATACAATGTCAGAAAACAATCCAACATGCTATCCTGACCCTGGAGGTGTCCTCTTCATATGCTTTGTTTTGTTCAAATCCCAAAGACATTCAGATGATAAATAAAAAGTATTAATGTCTGGGTCCAGAGTAGAAGCTGAAGTCATTTTTTTATTGTAATAATTAACTAGATATTGTATTGTTATTTCCTGTCCATTGACTAATTGAGTTGTTGACTGACTGCCTCAGCTGTAAGATTATTAATAATGGTGCTTACTTATTATGCGATCCTACAGTTTTTGGTTTTAAATTCTAATTTTGCTCTTTTTTTTTGTCGATTTAGTCATAATTTAGGCAGAATTGTTGAACTGAATGTGACAACTTCTGCTTCTTTTGTTAACTGAAGAAAATGGTTCTGTATTGAAAAAGGTGTGTGCGCCAGAACTCTGGGGTGGCATTATCAAAACTGGCAGACAAACCCTGTTTGGTTCAGGAAATATAAACATGAATTATCTGATATAACTGCTTTAGCTATAGCTTTTTGTATATATCATTTGTTGTGTCACATGACCAGCTGTTATGATTATTTATTCCTTAAAAACTGGGGGGAAAGCAGTATTGCTCAGAATGTAGATTTTAGGTTGCCTTACATCTGTCACACCACTGTGTACGGGAATTCATTTGTAATCCCACCTATTTTGCTTTTTTCCTGTGATTGTTCTCAGCTTATAAGTATTGGCTCCTCATATAACTACGGCAGTGAGGACCAGGCGGAGTTTCTATGTGTAGTTTCCAGGGAACTCAACAACTCTACCAACGGTATCGTCATCGAGCCCACAGAGAAGGCCAAGGTGAGTGACCCCATGAACATGACTTCTGTGTTCTATGTTTTTCTTATTGTCAGTAAGTTCCAGACTCTGTAGTTTATTTTTGAGTTAATCTCACACATCGTCCTGCTGCCAGAAACGTTTCCTAACATGAGGCTCAGAGGATAAATATAAAGGGTTGCAAGATGAGTGACAGGATGGGAAATGGGGAAAAAACATAATTCTCTGAAAAGGCTGAAAAAAATAGTTTCCTTTACTGATTAATCTGGCACTTAGTTCAAAACCCAAGGAGATTCAGTCTCGTATAAGAAGAGAGAAAGCAGTAATTGTACACATCTGAAACACTTGAACCAGATTTTTAATTTTTCCTTAAATGACTTGACTTGATCAAACTAGCTTGGTTCTTACCTTCATGAAACTGGGAGAACAGAAATAAGTCAGTTTTAGTTTGGGGGGTTTAAAGGGTTTCGGTGCTGTTGTTTCCACTGAAGCATTTTTCCCTCTGTCCCCTCAGATCCTTCAGGAGCGAGGCTCGCGGATGTGAAGAGACCCCGGTCCTGAGCTAAACAGCACTTTTAACAACAAATTCAAAACAAAAGCATGAATGTTGTCTCCATGGGTTTACTCCCCTCCATCTTTCACTACCACCTTCATCATCATCAGCCCCCTCCCTCCTC